CAGGGAGTTTTGGGTATGACGTTATCTGAGTAGAACTTGCTTTTTTATCAAAGGAGCACGAAAGGAATGGTGATGATTTGTCACCGTGAACACGGCATGGTGGTTCCTAGTTGTGGGGGTTTGAGCTGATGACCCTAAGGAGTGTAATTCGTCCCAAAATTTGTCATAATAACGATATAGCAATGAAAGGCTTGCAAAGTTTCGTCTGTGGAATAAGGTTTGCAAGGTGGTGACTAATTAATCCCCCACAAAGCCGTATAAGCCCTTTTGAACTCCGTTTCCGGTTAAATTGTGCTGAAAGCACCGAAGATCACCAAAGTTAACCAGCAATAAACCTGTTCAGTATTTTTGTTGAATGATTACTTAGGAGAAGCGGCTATAGTAAACAAACGGACGTATGTGTGCGAGATTGCCAAAGCTTTCCAAACTTACTAATTTTAGTAAATGACTTAAAACCAAAGTTTCAAATTGTTTGAAACCGACACTTAAGCCTAGCTTGATTCATCAGCTTAAGCGACGTGCTTTGTTGGGAACGTTGGCAGCAAGTTTTAAGGAGCGTCTACGTTAACGACATGGTGCCGACAAAATTCGTCCCGTAAGCCAATTCGGGAGTGTAAGGAATTCGATTCACAGCGAGAACCCCACAACAGTAGCCTTATACCTGACGAAACTAAGCTTAATAAATAACTCGGAGGCAAAATTCCTACATAATAACTTATTAAATATACTGCATGAAAAATGTTCAGTAGTATAATAGTTGTTCGGGTGGTGCAATGGATAGCGGCTCAAAATTATGCGCTGATATCGTTAGGAAATATATTGATCCATCTCTTTCTCCCCAGCTATGGGTTAAAGAGTAGGACAGACAGATCTTCAGTCTTAATTGAAAACCAGTGTAGGAGAAGCACAACTCTGATTTCAAAAATCGTATGTTGCTCTGGTGAAGCACATAACATGCAACTAAGGAACGAATCGTGGAGTTCACACTGACACTATGATCTCGACTGCGCTAGGCTTTCTAATATGTTGATCTTTTAGGTCATATCACTGGCTTAATGAATTTAATCCACACTCAGCGCTACACTACAGTAGCCTTATTCCAGATGAACCTAACATCAGTAAAAAATTATTATAACGCTGTAATTAGCAAACTTGCCTCGTAGGCGAATTCGTCAGTGTTGTTTGATTCTTACTAGGTACCTTATAATATTAACCTTGTGTCAGGCTAAATTATAGCATAAGGGAACCTGCTTACTAGTAAACTCTCGTCTCATCTTGTCGTAAGTACGACCCTTTCAAGTTGTTTCACTGTTATAGATTTGAACCGAACTAAACTAAACGTGGTAACTAACTTGATGAATATGCTTCACAAATAACTATTTGATTCTGTTATCTTCGAGTGTGCGTATGTAATAAATAAATGTAGCCTAGCGACCGTGGATTCGTCGATAATGCAGTACTTCTCCATTTTATTAAAAAAAAGATACGGACAAGGAAACACTGGGACATTTGCTGTAAAGATATTGGTATCAAGAAATATTTTACTTAAACCAAGGTTAAAAAAAAAGAAAACAATTTATGCTTTGCAAGTTGCAGGTTATGGGTATGCAAATTCAAAACCCTGCTAATTATTGGCGTTAGAAAGTTTTTAGAAAGCTAGAGTGGAACAAAAAAAAACCCCAGAAATATGAATGTTACTTAATTACGCGTACTGAGCTTTCGATAACAGAATGGACGAAAACAGAAGTGAAACAAAAACAGTTTCTTTTCGTGAAGACATCCTGGCAGAAGACAGGATGAGATCGTCCTTCCGTTGGGACTGGCACAGCATGAGACACCAAGTAAAATGTGAGGACGATGCCAAGTAATTATATAGCACAATTCTCCACACGAGAAACAACTTATGTAAAATGGATTCTTTCCTGAACGCAGACAGTTGATGCCCATGACAAATATACAACGATCAAACCAAAAACGTTACGGTTTGTAAACATTTAAAATCTTCCAGTAGAAAATAAGATTCATTAAAATTCTGTTAAGCTAGCGTATTTTAAAGAGAAGTGTATTTCTTTCTATTCTCATGAGCTTAAAAACAATATAACCTACATTAACTGGGATATTGTTTTAAAAGGTTTTAAAAGGTCGTTCGATTTCCAATATAATTTTAATGCTAAACTTAATCCTTAATTACTGCCTGTTTTTCTTCAAGTGCTGTGTTTGATTCGTTAGTACATATATTTACATGTGTTAAATAATAGTTTATCAGAGTATTATTTTTGGGAGGAAGTGTATCTCAGGTCCGACTTCCGGAGGTTGACCTTCGTGGTCAAATGTAAGACATAATAGGGGAGTCGACTTTGATTGGCTGAGCGAACCTGGGAATGATAGATAGAGAAAGTTTTTCAGAGAGTTGCTTCTTGACTGTCAAAGCGACGTAGACGTGTTGTATTTCGTGTCTGAAATGGCTCCCCAGTGGCGGTCACCCCCCCCAACTCTATGGTTAGTACATGCCAATATTAATAAAAATAGATAACTTAAAATTCTCCGTGTTGAAGTTCTTTCAAGGTCCCAAAGCATTTAGCAATCCCCAACCGGGAGAAAACGAGAAAGAGAATTCAACAAATAATCTAAATGGCGCAGCTACGCGTATCCGAGGATGCCCATTACCTTGGGGGTCTTGCTAATCCCTTTTGCAGACGCCTACCTGTTGTTTATACTACAACTATGCAGTATAAACCACAGATGGAACTCACTTTACTTCTAGTGAGTTTAAAAATTCTGCAAAAGCTACGCGATTGAACATTTGACAACACCGATTTATCATCTGAGGTGGAATGGTAAAGCGGAACGGTTTATTGACACCTTCAAAAGAGCATTAAGAAAAGCTAATGGTTTTGAAGCTGAAGAAACGGCATTATAGGGATTTTTTGAGCGTGTATCGAATGACGTCAAATGCAAACATCACCACGAAAATGTCACCTGCAGAGCTCGTGTTTGCTAGAAAAGTTAGATTCATTTTTGACAAATCACTGCGAAGGAATACGTTCAACAGTTTCAACCTACCAGATTATTTAAGATCAGCGATAAAGTTTTCTTCAAAAGCTTTCAGTCCGGAAAATAAAATTGGCATTTTGTTGACACCATCAAAAGAGTATTAAAAAAAGTTAAAGGTTTTGAAGGTGAAGAAACGACATTACATGGATTTTTGAGCGTGTATCGAATGACATCAATCACGACGAAAATGTCATCTGCAGAGCTCGTGTTTGCTAGAAAAGTTAGATCCATTTTTGACAAATCACTGCGAAGGAATACGTTCAACAGTTTCAACCTACCAGATTATTTAAGATCAGCGATAAAGTTTTCTTCAAAAGCTTTCAGGCCTGAAAATAAAATTGGCATTTTGTTGACACCTTCAAAAGAGCATTAAGAAAAGATAAAGGTTTGGAAGTTGGAGAAACCACATTACAGGGATTTTTTGAGCGTGTATCGAATGACGTCAAATGCAAACCGTGGAAATATCACTTGAAGAGCTCATGTTTGCTAGAAAAATTAGGTCAATTTTGACAAATTACTACCAGGGAATAAGAAGAAAATTCGACAATTTCAAACTACCAGATCATTTAAGATCAGCGTCAATGTTTTCTTTAAAAGTTTTAAGGCCGGAAAAGAAGATTGTCAGGAAGAAAGAATTATTCATCTCCTTGGTAGTATGATGGACATTGTCGAAAGTGGACGCTTTCGTCATAAGAGAAATATAAATCAGTTGAGATCTAGATATGCACAGAATAAGCAACCAGTACAATTTAATTTACCGATAGACATACTCTACGATACCACTGAAATACCTATTCCTAAACCTAAAATTAAAATATAACGTCAGAGTAAGCGAAGTTGTAATCCGACTGAAACGTTCGAAGAGAACCCATGTCGGAAAAATTATCGGTTAAAGAAAGTGCATATCTAAAAAGGGGGTATTGTGGATATGAACACACCTCTTCATAAGAGGACTTGGACTCGTCCAAATACATAAATATGGACGCCGAGAATCGTCAGTAGGAGGACGTAGAGGAGAAGGCTTTCTCTTTCTCTCTTGTCGGGCGGAGAAGGACCCAGAGGAGGCTATGCCAAAAAGCAGTCTCGTTTGGAGAAGTAGACAAACCCGACCCCGTGTATACGGGATCAACGGGCAATTTTTGTTCGAACCTAACGACTCGGAACGCCCACGTTAAAAAACTGACCTTGTGCCATATCTTGCCTTGTGGAGAGGTTGGTAAATAGAGAGGAGAGAGGAAGAGGAACTTCCCGTCGGAGTAGATGCTGCGGTTTTAGTATCTGTTCCGTGCTGGAGGCCTTCTCTCTCCTTCCCCTTTGATCTTGTTCCGCAACGGAGGTATGACCGGCTATGACTAGCTTAGACAATCTCTGACCAGCTAAGAACAACTTGGACAAGACCAACTTAGACCAGGTCCCCCACGTTAAAAACCGACCTTGTGTTACAACCTGGCTCTGTGGAAGCGGGGGGGGGGTCACGGTAAATCTCATAGATAAAAGTAGACTTAGAGTATCTGCTTACTACCTATTTCAGCAAGACGACGTCGACTCCAAGCGACATTCTATTTCTTGATTGTGTTATTTTTTATTCACTGCAATGAAGACATAACACTTTCCTTGTGAGATTTGAACCCAGGACTCATGGTCAGAAAGCTAATGTTCTAACCACTCCACCGCGTGCCCATTTAAATGCTACTGATTAAATAAAAAGAGTTTGTAAAAAAAATCCCTCCAGTGTCATATGAAGTGAAAGGGTTCGATTGCCTAAGTTATCCCAAAAGAGGAAATGATGTGAGAGCAATTTTTGTCACTGCATCCATCGTCGCATTAGATCGGTCTCTTGCGAAACTGTTGGCTCATTCAAAGGTCGTTAAATACCGTGGTCAATGAGATGGTCGATGCAGACTTGAATAACGACAGAACAGGCAGGAGTAGAGGTAAATACTTACGTTTGCAAAGGCTTTGCTGACCTGCGGTACGAGTTTCTGGCTGCCAGTCATGGATCGGGTGGCATTAATCCTGTACCAACCCGAAGAGCGAGGGTGATTTTGTGCCACTGTAGCGGCCGCCATTTTCGCAGCTTCGTCTTCAGGAAGATTTGGAAGTTTGCCCAGCTCCTGATTAAAACATCAATTAAGATGGAATTATTACAAAGAAGAATGTGCAATTAAAACGAAAAGACATAACGAAAAAATTAAAACTGAGATAAAGAGAATTTATAATAATTTTACACTTACTACTACTACTACTACTACATATGACTTTATAGAACAACTAGGTTGTAAGAATGAGGGGAGTGGAAATGGCGAACTGCGTTCACTTGTCTATAAATGCCCTTGCGAAATGCATGGATATAAATATCATTTGATTTTTTTGTGTCATTT